GCATGACAAGGGCCCTGAGAAATGCCTGAAGACAAGAGATTTAGCAACAGCAGCACAGTGACTATTCTCTGCAACCTGGCTCCTGATCTGCCAGGAGGCATTTGTTGTCTAGCTGTTCTTTATCCATATGGAGGCATGTCTTCAAGCATGTTTGCCATGAGGCAAACCTTGCATTCAGAGGTTTATGGGCTGCATTCATGAACTGAATGGAATCTTATTTTTGGAACATTATGCACACCTTTTCAAGTGATTGATTTTATAACTTCCATTGACTTGGTCAGATGGGATGTATTTTTCTACACAATGAATGGCATATAGACTGTGTGTCCCACAAAATAATATAAGATGCACCATCTTACTTGCATGTAAACATCAAAAAGCCAGAACTATTGTTTATATTTTTCTAGGTATATGGAATTGAACAGAATAGAGAAGCACAACTAAATAAAAAAGATACCCCTAAAAAGTGTATTCGTTGTACAAATCAAATCAGTATTTGAGACTTTCCAACCTTCCTCTTCCCCCATCTATATTTCTCCTTTTTTGTTAAAGATGCCTGGTCAAGATGTTTTTGCTGGAGGATTAACCCTCCAAGAACCAACTGATCTCTATTCTCTGAAACAATTTGCATAAATGGAGATGTAGAGAAAGTGACCCACCCATCCTATAAGAGTGGTATACCTTGATAAAATAGCATAAGGACAGTACTAAAGAGGAAATCCAGTACCAGTACTGCTTACATGGATTCTAGTGTTAGATCTGGAGACTCAGCAATATATACATATGAATAGATCACAAAGTATGGTTTATTCCAGGAATATAAGGAAGATTTAACATAAGAAAAACTTATTCAAGTAATACCCTATATTAGAATTTTGAGAGAAAATATACTGAAATATATAGTTTAACAAATGTAGTTGTGGGGGAAAAAAAAAAAAACTAAGCAACTTATGGATAGAAGGGAATTGCCTTAAGCTGATAAAGTTTCTCTTCCAAAAACCTATGGCAAAAATTATGGTGAAACTCTAAGGAAAATTTGTCTCTTCCAATATTTCTTTCTTTCAAGCTCTAATGTTTTGCTTGCATAGAAAATACAAAGAGGCCCATTTTAATTTGTAATTTCATATTACATTGGTTAGGACTATTCTTAAACTGCTGAATAATGGAGGTGATAGAAGCATTCCCAGGAGAGCTATTTCTATGCTGATGTATAGGAATTACACTGATTTTTAAAATATTGGATTTGCACTTGGCAATCTTGTTACTCCTATTGCCATGTGATATGGTGACCTAAAATTCTTTCTTCCTTTCTCATGGTTTTAATTGATTATGCAACCTATAGTTTTTATTGTTACTGTGAATGAAATCTTTTCCCCCAAATAAATGGAATAAATTATAAAACGTTATTGGTCCAGCAGAACTTTATTTCTATTACATATTCAAATCAATTATCACACTAAATGGTAATAACATGTTCCTACTGATGCAAATTTTCCTTCTTTTTAAAAGTTTATTAAAATTCAACTAATATAGTGTATTATTAGTTTCAGATGTAGAGCTCAGTGATTCATTGGTTGTATATAACAACCAGTGCTCATTACATCACTTGCCCTCTTTCATGCCCATCACCAAGTTACCCCATCCCTCCACCCTCATCTCCCCTCTAGCAACCCTCAGTTTGTTTTCTAGAGTTAAGTCTTTTATGATTCGTCTTCCTCTCCGATTTCATCTTTTTTTCTCCCTCCCCCTATGATCCTGTTTGGTTTCTTAAATTCTACATATGAGTGAAATCATATATTTGTCTTTCTCTGATTGGCTTATTTTGTTTAGCATAATACCCTCTAGCTTCATCCATGTGATGCAAATTTTCTTTAAATGTACCTGTAAATTCTGTGTTCTTCTAACCAAAATCTCAACAGGGATTGACAGGCTGATTTTCAAATGCATAGGGAAGAGCAAACCAAGAATAGCCAAGATCATTGTACAGTTTTCTAGTATCTGCCAAGGAAAGTGTCCTCACTTCGAATATAACGCCGTCAATGATAAACTATGTTATTAGAGTTAACTTTGAAAAAGAATCACAGTAAATCACGTAATGCAATGCAGAGACCCAACCACAGATCCACACAAATATGAAACCTGGATATATGGAGCTATATCCCACACAGGGATAAAAGTATAGAGACTCTGGTAGTGGGTGTTAGGACAACTGAGTAATTCACTTGAAGCTGACATATAAGATTTGGACCCTGATCCTTTTGCAATTTTTTTTTTTTTACAAAGCCTATATCTGACAGCTTGTATTTTGTTATAGTGTTCACTGTTGTATGGAAGTTTAATATTAAATACAAAAAACTATCTTTTTGATTTCAGGGTAGGGAAGGATTTCTAAAATAAAGCACAAAAACACCAAACCCAAAGGAAAAAAATTTTCTTCATGGATTTTTAATAGTGTCTATATTTTCTTTTAAGAGTTTAAAATAGTAAATGGACAAGGAGTACCAGCAGCCCATACAAGCCAAGGTCCCATATAGCCCCAAAACGATAGTATCCAATAAATACTTGCAAAATGTACTATCTCACTTGGAATTGTGGCAATGCAAATGAGAACAATACATGGCTTCTTCAAATTTAGATCTTGCCAAATACCATGTTGAAGTTCCTATTTCTCCATATCTTCACCACCTCTTAGCAGACTGTTATCATTTCACAACTATCAGATTGAGAAGCTGCTTTCCACACAGGGCGATTGCTATTCATGCCTCTCCAGCATTCAGCTTGTAAGCCACTGTTAGATGTCACTAGTGGTTAGCATGCTGTTCTGCACACAAAGGCAGTGGGAATGCATAGCCCCTTTGGGAAGTTGTGTGACCACTTCTGGGGCAGTGGGTGGTGAGTGGAAGCTCTGTATGTTGTTTCCCGCCTGTGCGAAATCCACCCCTCTTGCTGTCACACTGAGGAAGGAGCCCAAGTGGTTCAGATGGTGCAGCCATAAGATGGGACCCTCCCTCAGGTCTCTGGCACTGTGGATAGTGTCAATGAGAAATAAACATTTGGTTGGTTGACCAGCTCGGGTTGCAAAATAAATGTTGAGTCACCTTAAAAAGTCACATGTGCAATAAGTTTAAGGTATAGGTCTAGAAATAGAACTGTGGGGCATTCATGCAGAATCTGGCACAGAACTGGCATTTCATAAATGTAAATTAGTGAAACCCATCCTAGTCTACCCTAGTTTTAGAGGTACATAGATAAAATCCAATTCTTCGTATTAAGAAGCTCAGACAAGTTAAGCTAATATTTACAACACAGTAAATATTTTTGTCTTATCCTAGGCTGTTCAATGTGGTAATCACTAGGCACACATGGGTAATGAACATTTGAAATGTGGCTAGAGTACCTGAAGAACTGAATTTCTCATTTGAATTGGAAAATGTTAAACAGTTAATATCTTGCCACTAAACACAGCTTAAGTGTTTTGATAAGACTGTATCTCATTATAAATGAAAATTTAGCATTAAAATTTAAACCTTCTCTAAGTTGAAAACAGATTTTGTTTTAAACAATGTATATAAATATACACTTCGTTGTTTTTTTTTTTAAGATTTATTTATTCATGAGACACAGAGAGAGAGGCAGACACACAGGCAGAGGGAGAAGCAGGCTCCTCCCAGGGAGCCCGACATGGGTCTCGATCCCTGATCCCGGGATCAGGCCCCGAGTTGAAGGCAGATGCCCAACCGATGAGCCACCCAGGCATCCCTAAATATACACTTAGTATATGTGTTAACATACACAAAATATCTCAATATTTTAGATGTATTGTCAAAACATTTAATTTCACCTGCTCTTTTTACTCTCCTAAATGTGGCTACCAGAAAGTTCAGATTATGTATGTGGCTCACGTTATATTCCTATTGGACAGCACGGCTCCAGACTAAGTCCACATTCCTCAGAATGGTATCTCATCCTAACTCCTGTGTCTGATACATGCTAGAACCATAAGAAGTCAATTCATCCTAAGTGTAACCTGTGGCAGCAAAAGACTCTACATGCTGCAAAGAGCTTTATAGACGCCAGGGCACTTCCTGCCAAAACAGGAGCTTGCATATTACTTCACTCGCCTTCATGTAAACATAATTTTTTTTTTTTAACATTCATCTTTCTTGAACTGGAGTTTTCTTCACAATAAAATGTGACCTGGCGACTGCCACTCAACTTTCCGGCCTTGGTGTCAGCGTCTGCCCAGTCCCTGACTCTGTGCATACCGTAGCCACCTCTGGTAGTCCACACCCAATTCGAACCTCCCTTGAGGCTTCCACTGCCTTATTTGATTTCCACTTCCTTCTAAACAACCAAAGATGACAATTTACTGGACCAGAACTATAGGATGGAGGATGACAACTCCTCTCAGCTAATAAATTGAAACAGCAAATTGCTGAATTTACGCCAACTCACATCTCTAGGTTTTCTTCAGGGTCTGCCAAAACTCAAGTCCATTTCTTTTTTTTTGGCTCCTTGGAATGATGAACCAAGCGCCCCCTCCAAATATTCTCGTCTTTCCTCTCAAGTATGCGTGGAGTCAGATGCGAGGATGTTTGGGAAGATGGCATCAGCAGTGCAGCTGCTCCTGTGGTCCAGCAGGCTCATCAACCCCTTGGGAGCTCTCTTGTTCCAATCCCCTCCCAGCTGAGAGGCCAGGTTCAGTGGCCACATTATCATCTCCGATGAGGCCATGGACCATGGGATGAAAACTGTTACTGCTGCCTAAACCAGCATCTCTTGTGAATTTAAGACAAAGACAAAACAAAACAAAGCAAAATGACCTGGTCCATTTCAGAGCATGCATGGTTAACCAGCAGTACATCTAACTCGACATATACCCGGATGGAATTCAGAGCACCTGTGCTGTACAGATGGCTGCCTTTACATATCAGAAATGTATCCCACAAGATAGGCTATGTAATAAAAAGCCCTCTTATCACTGAAATGAAAGGGCAGAGAACGTTTTACAGTTGCTTTATTTAACAAAATTTACGCCAACTTCTAGATCTATATACAAACGTGTTTCAAAACCAGAGCAGCAGACACATAAACTGTTAACACAGGACTTACACTAATGCTTCAGACATGTTATGCAATGTTTTGTTTTCTGCTCATATTGACATGTACAGGTTCAAAAATTATTCCAAAGGCCAAGCAACATCACATTTTTGTTTCCTGGGATGGTTTATTTAGTAGGTTGTGAAGAAAGAGGGATGGAACTTTTGAGGGTTAATATATTGTGTTCAGTGTAGTTTAATAAACAGCATTTGGCCCAGAGTGGGGCTCACGAAATGTTTTGGGCAGGGGATAAAAATTTGAGTAAAATATGATCTATGAGACTATGAATCTTTTTAAAAATTTTCACTCTGTCATAACTATAAGATCATATCATTTCTGACCCCCAAAAGTAAAAAACTAAGAAATAAGTTTAAAATTCTATTAGTAAATATTATTAATAAAATTTCATGAGCACAGGTCCTTCAAAATCAAGGTGGGAGTACATAAATACTCAACACAATTCTACCCCTACCTCGTTCATTAGAAATGTTTTATGACATTTACCTACACATTAAGCTATTTCCTAAAGTTCTTCATATAGGGAGGACAGACATGTTTTGCTTTCTTGTTTTTTATGACTTTCAGGAGCCTTCTTAATTCCTCAAAAAGTATTGTAGCTCAGGAAATCCTCAAAAAGCTTAGCTACATAGTCTATTCATAAAAATTTAGGTCCATAAAGTATGTAAGCTGAATTTTAGGTAATACTTGAAAAACGGTTGATGCTACAAAGTATAAATATTTCATGTTGACACTTAGCACTCTGACCTGATTCATAGTCATCTTTCCTGAAAGGTCATGCTCTAGCCTCTCAAGAAAGATGCTACTAAGCAGTGAGGTATAGGAGAAAAAAAAAAAAAAATCACAGCCTTTTCTTCTGTTAATTTAGGAGCCTTCTATCATGCCGGCAGGGTACATATCCACACATGGTTCACTTGAGAGCACTCTCCTCTATGTGGTGAAGTGGTACATAGGATCCATTTCCCAAAAAGCACCAACTAGAAATGCATGGGGATGAAATACTGCAATGAAATGATCCTCAGGGATTCCTACTCCTGTTTGTTCATATAAATCAGACTCATCACTTACTTGTGCTTTCATTTTCTAAAAATGAGACCATACCATTATAAAAATGTGCTTCCAAAATAATTTCTAGAATATAAAGTGTTTTATATTTTTCCAGCCCACATAATTTCATTATAAAATAGGAAATCAGAAAATTAGCTGTTTTCATATGGTAAAAAATATTTATATGTGTACACACACATATAAACATATATACACATATAAAAAACCCAAATTTTAAATTCCAATAAAAACCAATTAACCAACTTAATGATCATGTATTCAGTTAAACATAAGAAATGTTGATTATCTTGAGAATCAACTACAAAGAATAACTCCACTTATCAGAAGATAGTGTAAGACTTTCACACATGTAAAAAAAAAAAACCTCAAAGTTCCAACTAACCAACATGAAAATCTCACTCAAAGTCTTTTTCAGATATAATGGCTCCCAGTTTCATTCACCGCACTAAACTGCCTAAGGAAGGAGCAGTCTTAAAGGGAGGAAAATGCAGAGTTGGGGGCTGCCCTGTAGCCGTGCCTGTGTGTTCTGAGACGGTTGGTGCCTGGCAGGTGGGTTGGTGAGGATGAAATCCAGCCTGAGCTCCCTGTGCCTGGCCACCCATCTGCCCAACAGGTGGTGAAGGTGCAAAGGGAGTTTTTCCTAACGCACACAAAGGTGCTGTGTGGACCAGCCATGGTCCTGGCATCTGATGGTGGAGAAGGGGAGGTGTTCACGAGTTACTACCTAGGAAAGGTGAGTGAGAGGGAGAACAGACTGTGAAGGTGAAGGTAAATTAGAAGCGTACTGTGATTATCAGTGAAAACCAGGAGTAGGGTTTCTATAACCTCCACAAAGATAGCGGGATGTTTCTATTTTGTTGGTTCTTGCTTTAGTATTTTCATGAGGGAAAGCCTTAAGGTGCTTCAGAGGCACAAAATAAAGGGGACAGGAGGTGAGTAGGGAAGAGTCTCACTCCAAAGGAGAACCTGTTCGGAAAACTGGTAGAGGGAGAGCAGGCTATGAGCTAGGTTGGAGGCAACATCCTGGATCCATAAGTGGTGGAGAAAGCACGTGCAGCCTTTGCCCATGGTCTGTGCATGGGTTCTCAAATGAAAACTAATGGCTACATTAAAGTCATAACTCCCTTCACAGTCCTGCCTTGAACTTTATCTATGTTGTAAGAAGCCTATTGATTCACATTTTAAATTGGGTTACTTTATGTTCGTGAGGGTGGCCTTAATTTTATTTTCCATCTGTGACCATTCTTTTTTTTTTTTTAAAGGCACTCCCCAACTGTCATAAATCAAGACATTTAAAAAGAAAGTAAAGGTTTGAAAATGTTTCTTTCCTCCCCTAACATCTACTGTTGACGTAATAAACTCAGGCAAACCCTCAGAATCATTCTTCAAAATGGCCAACGGAAGCACGATGCTCTGTGCTACAGACACTTCTGAGTACTGCAGAGTGGGTGAGGAATTTAAAAGAGCCACTTTTCTATAACCAAATTTAAGATAACAAAGTAGAAGGTATAATTTCCATTATGTTCCAAATATTCAGCACATAATGCAGAAAAAAAAATGGATGTGCACACCAAGATACGGGTTTAATTCCTCAGTAGCATTTTGTATAAAGAGCAATATGTAAAACACTAAACTTGTCCCTCTGAATAGATCACAACAAATATGTAACTACTCAGAAAAAAGGGGTGCTAAACAAAGAAAAGTCTCAGATCCCACTGGAAATCTGGAAGTTTCACTTCTCTCCAGAAAAACACGTATACATAGATTTGTGCGTATGATTTCAGGGGCTTCAACTAGCTTCCAAGGTCTGGTCACTTGTCTCCGGTTAAGACTCCTGGCTCTCAACATTCCTACAAGGTTTCTGAAGAATGAATGATCCTCCCATTTCTACAATCTGTATTTCTCCTACTGAGTCAGGGAGGGAGGGGAAAAAACAAACTAGAATAAACTAAAATTAAGAAAATAATTTGCTTCAAAAACCATTTTTTTACTTATTTGCCCTTGGAAGAAAGAACATCCCAATCTCTAGTTGCCTCTATCAAATGCCGTTGGCCATGACTCATCCACTCTTCCTGGTCTTCATACAGCCGCCCACAAAACCAGCATTTAAATATACACTGTGATGAGTCATCAGGCAAAGAATCCACCACCTGGTAGTTGTTTTTATGAACTTTTTTAAGTTTCATTTTCAACATCATTTGCCTTTTTATCTGATTGGCCTCCTCCACATTCTGGTATGTCAGGCGAACATGATGCCGTCTGATGCCTAGCTGACACCTAGTCCTCTCTGACAAGACGACTTTGAGAACGTTGCCTTTGTACTTGTTTATTACCTTCATCACATTGGTCACTTCTGGAGAGTCAACATCAGGATGGTTTAATACGATGACGGGCTGGTTCCGACGTGGGCATTTAATCAACTGATCTGGTTTAACAGCTACCAGTCGAAGTTGTCTTGCAACCTGGAAAATTGAAGGATCCTTGAGATAGCGGCTGGGATCAGCCTGGATTTTACTTTTCTTCTTGGATGAGTTCACTTGTTTGGTTTTATTTTTACTGATAGGAAGACTTCTGGAAAGCAGTTTTCCTTGCTTACTCAGTTCACTGCTTCCTTGCTGACTGTGCAGGGGGCCAGTTTTTTTAGGCATGCTACAAATAGAACTCTCTTTTCTTGGTTTTGGCCGAAGAGGTATATCAAAATTTTGAGACATATCTATTGGCCCACTTTCACTTGTCAAAGACTGTAAGTCTGAGTCTGTCTGTCTCACTGGGCATAACGGAATGGGTTTTATTAACTGTGTCTCACTGCAAGGTATGCTGACAGGTGCTTCACATGTGGCTTCTATAATGTGTGCATCCTCAGAAGAATTAAGAACCCTCAATACAGCCCCTTTGGGGATCAATACTGGAGTAGCAACATGGGCCTTCCTGGTTACCCGTTCAGTATTCCCATTGCTGCCTTCTATAAACTGTGGATATATCTGCTGATGAGTAAGCTGTCCATTAATACCACCATCATCCTGAGGTTTTGGGAGCGTGCCTGTGGAATAGCCAGTGCCAGTAAATGATACGTTAATTTCGTGGATACCTTCAGGAGCAGCTTTTGAAGTTTCCTTCGACGTCTGCCCTACAGAACGGCGATGTGCATTATTTGCAGACAAAGATGATGGCTTACCACAGGATTCAATTAATTGAGCTATCTTTCTGCGCAAGAGTTCAATTGACTTTATTTTGGATGTTGAACTATTCCACTTAACACCCTCAGGGACATTTTCAGACCCAGAGCTCAGAGAAAATACTGATGAGATGACTGGACCATCAAAAGAGTCTTTAGTCCTTTCAGGATTCTTTAATTCCAAAGGCTCCTCTCTGGGTGGCTGAGACCTGATTCTATCTTCTCCTGGCATATTTATATGTAAATACTCGCTTTTATGTTGAGAGGAAATCTGGCTTGTATTTGAAACTGCCTTGTGTTCCTCCATCTGCTTGTCTTTCAGCTTCCGATGAGAGGGAACCATTTTTATAGGAACACTGATCTCATTTCTAGATTCCAAGTTATTTGTATTTACAGGCAATGAGCCCTTTTCTCCAGAGAAGGACATGGTTTTAGGTGATGCAGCTAGGGGAAGCAACTGCTGCAAGTCACCGTGTAAGTTCCTTCCATCTTCAGCAAAAGAAACAGCAGCTTTATATGGAAAGGGATTTGATGCAGCTCCAAGACTGTGGAAAATACTGTTTTTTACTAGAGATGCTGGAGAATGACCTTTTAAGGAGAGAGAAGGAAAAGCCGGTCTGTGTGGGTACATACTGCTTTTTTTCGGGAAATCCTCAACTCTATCTGGGTTGAGGAGGGATTCTCCACGGTCGTGCACACTAGAATTGGACATGAAAAAATCATAAGACCTGACCCACTTCACATTTTTAAGTTGTTTCTGAACTGACGACTGAAGATTATCAATGCCTGCCAGTTTTCCAACATTCCCTTCAATTGCCAGTGACTTTGTTTGGCCTGCAGAAACCATTTTTTCTGGTTCAACTAAACGCTTCTCTCTAGTCATAAGCTCAGAATTGCCCCTATCGCCCCCACCAGCGTCAGGGCGGTTACTTTCTTCCAGAGGAAACAATTTCAGGACCAGCTGCTGGGTCCCATTGACAACCTTCACATCTATCAACTGGGCTAAGCAGTTTGCAGGAACGACGAGTTCTGCTGGTGCCACCACAGTTAATGGCATTCCCGGCTGGACAGGCTCTTTTGCTGGAGACAGCACTTCTACCTCCACACTTTTGTTCTCAAACAGACTGCCTTCGTTTGGCTCCGACAGGGTCACTTTATTTGGAACACATACTACATCTTTTTGGTATTCCTTTGATTCAGGCAACAACATGATACTGTGCATTTTGTCTTTATTCGTATGGAGAGAGAATCTTGAGAGTTGATCTGATGACTTATTTTGAAATGCAGTCCTTGGATTGGGAGCTTTGAAAAGCTCTGTGTTTTGCTTGGATATGCTGACTCTTTTCGGCTCCAGTTTGGCAACAGTTTTGGGCAGCCGCTTTCCCCCCGCCCTCTCATGTACTCTCCGCCTGTGTTTGACAATGTAGTCATTCCTAATAGCACCATAGTCGCAGTACTCACACTGATAAGGGAATACGCCTGTGTGTTTCACCAGGTGCCTCTGGAACTCCCCTTTTGTGTAAGAAACATAGTTGCAGTGAGAACAGATGAATTTAATCTCTTCATGTTGAAGTGTGTGCTTCTTGTATTGCAGAGGGTCCTTTGTGGAAAATCGACATTTATCACAATAGTATTTGCCTGGCTTAAAGTTCCTTACCTTAAATTTGTTACTGACGGAACTTGAGATGGCTTCGGCTTTATTTCCTACAGGAGTAGCATTGGGATTGCTGTTCACATAATGAAAATGGGGAGCAGCCACACCTAGGTTGCATTTGAAGCAAATGTATTTGTCTTCCTTTTGGCTTGGCCCGGTACCCTTTTTCAAATCTTGAAGCGGGATTTTGTGAACACTTTTGCACTTCACACATGTAGCAACAGTCATCATGGCAGCCTCTGCCTCTGAGCCTTGACACAAAAGAGCCTGCGCTTCTTGTCTATCTGGTCGAGTTGCTCTATTAGCAGTAGGCTGTTTGGGTGACATGGTTAAGGAATTATGTCTGTTGTTCACTTGAGTGGTATATAACTGCCGTCCAAGATCCTTCATCTTCTTTATTTGCATTTCTAAAAAGGGAAAGCCAAAAAATCCAGGAAGACTTCACAGGATAAAATCCTTTGGGGCCATCCTTCATTTAACTTCCCGATTGGCAGAGAATCAGTGACTTCCTGGGCGGGCATAGTCAGTTATCCTTGCTTATAAACCACCACAGTAGGTGTATGATTCCAAAATATAATTGTTCCCAATTCTCTGATATTCCGGGCAACACTAAAGGGAAAAAAAAGACATCAGAAAGCATGATTAATACGTGAAATTAAGGTTTAGTTAAGCTATTTCCAAACTTATCCTGTATTTCAATGATCTTTATATTTCATGCTAAACCTTCACATATTTTCTTAAACATACACTGACAGTAAAACGTAGTACCACAGAAGGGGCAAATAAGCCTAAATGGAAGATATTTTTAAATTCAGCCCTTTAAGAACTCATCTCTTTAGACCAACCATAAGTAGGCCAGGAACAAGGAAATCACAGCTGTCACTCAGAACAGTCCTTAATAAGTGAGTTATTTTTAGGTGTCATGGAGAACATCCCAGCAATTTCATAGGTATAATATATTATACCTGTACAGGAGAATACTATTTCAGTTTTTAAACACACAAATTATCAGGTCATGGAGAAAGCTAGGGCTGGGGCTCAGGTGTCATTTGTTAATTAGCAGCTTGGATTCCCAGCTCTCTCTATGCTACATTTACTTTCACAAGTGTAAGAAGTCAATAATACACTGGCAATATTAGGTAGACAAATACTGATTCCTTCAAGATTTTATTGAGCATCTATTATGTGTCAGGCATTGTTCTGAGTGGTGCAGGGCAGTTAGCAAAACCCAGTTAAGTGATGAGGTTGCAGAGCTGGCATATAGAGGTGTGGAGAGTCAGGAAAGACTCCAGTTAAGCTGACATTTGAGCAGAGACCTCAGGGCAGCAGGGAGTGAGTACTGTAGTTGTCTGGGAGAAGGGAATTTCAGGCAAAGAAGGCATAGGTCTGTGGGATGTGGGCCTGGACCAAATCAGGAATGGCAAGGAGGCTGAGAACAGAGGACAGTTAGCAAGGAGAGGAGATAAATGAAAGAGCAGTTGGTATGATCAGAGTCAGTGGGGACACTGGTTAAGGAAAGCTCTAGCACAGAGTCATAAGGACGTGACTTTTCCTGTACCTGAGAAAGATAACCAGGGGAGACTAGAGCAGTGACATGGCCTGATGTGATTTATATCCCAACAGAGCCTCTAAGTGCTGTACAGACAAGCATCTGTGAGTGGAATAAGAGTGTGGGGGATTGAGGTGAGGGTGGGGGGGCAGCCTGGGCAGTGGTGGCAGAAGCAGAAATGTCCCTACAGCAAATGCCATAATATGTGTAACACTGATACTCCTATAAAAATGATTATCTTTAAGTACAAATTCTTTTTTCAGAATACAAAAGACCCATAAGCCAAACAAACAAAAAAACATTCTAGCTGGGGATCTACTAAAAAAACCTTTCTTTTATGACCTTATAAAAACCACTGAAGCCTTCTAAGCCTCATTTTTTTTCATCTGTTAATGAGAAGGAAGGACACTGATCCAACCTCTCTCATGGCGCTGCCACGATGACTAAAACACTCAAGGGTAGAAGAGAACACTTCCGAAGTTTTAAAGTGGTTCTTTAAGTGTCAAGAGGCACACAGAGGTACCCAGTGTCTGACCGATGATGAGTAGCAATAGGAGGTGGAATTAGCAGCTTTCTTCTGGCACACTGATCACAGGCCAAGAGCCATGCAAAATAAGTCTGAAGGGCCAACCTGGGGGGAGAAGGTCCTACTGTAGGGTCAAGAGAAATAATTATTGTATATTCAGATCCAAACTGAAAGCTGCCCTGTAAAAGCATTTTTGGAAAGGACCACAAGAACACACTATGTTTGACAACATGCTTTTTCTTTGGCAGTGTTCTCTCTCCCTATTTTGCTTTTGCAAAAGATAGCGGTCTCCTTTCAAAAGCAATTCCCAGTATGCTGTTGAACCCTGGTGGCACCTAGGACTTGATCAGACGTGCCCCACTCCAAGCATGTATGTATACTTAGACACCAAGTGGGCAGAGGCCCCGTGGGGTTGCAAAATGCTACCTCTGCCCTTAGCGTTCAAACACATACTGATACAAGGGGACTGTGAAGAGGGCAGGACAAGTGGGTGCTTCCAGCTGGCAAACTGATAAGCATAGGCAAAGATAAGAACTTCCATTTTGCACTCCTGGAATACACGACAGGTAGAAGTTTCAAGATTCACTCATAAAACTCACATGCATTTCATTTTCCAGGTATAAACTGGATCTAGTGAAGGGAGAGACTCCAGTGACACTCTTAGTACCAGAACTTCTAGAAGCATAACCTGCAACTACTCAGGTAATCTCAGCGAGCCACCTGTTCTCATCTGCTTGTTCATCTATGTGATTTCCAAGCCCAGTCTCCCAGAGCCGACCTCTGAAATCAGTCTTCCTACCATCCGAGGAATGCTACTGCCAACAATGTGGTCATGTGGGCAATTTCACCCCATTGAAACAAAGGGAGAAATATCTGTGACCAGAACCCAAGAGAAGGCTGGCTCCAAGGACCCACAGGTGAAGAAGACTCTAAAGGGGAATTGGCCCAGTGGTTCTCAAACATGGAGGAGCCTCAGCATCACAGTTGAGATAGACAATTCTGGACTCACCCCTGAGCTAGTGAGTCTAAATCCTGACGAGGCAGGGGAAGAGGTAGAGATCTGTGGTTTATAAAAGCACTCACTGTAGTTTTGGTAAAAGCCAGGATTAGAAATCGCTAGTTAAAACTTCCAGCAACATTTTGATCTTTTAAAATCATCTTCACCAGTTGATCATGCAACCGACTGTCTAACATTGCCATAAACAAAATTTCTGCCTCCTTTTAGGCAGCTAATTTTATTTTCACGTAGTTCTCGTTGTTGAGAATTTGCCCTTAAATGTAAATGAAACTAGTGATTTTGTAACTTTATTATATACTGATTCTGGGGCTACAAACATAATCCCTCTTCATAAACCATTATATTAATACACAACTTTTCTGTCATTCAGTCCCTGGTTCTCAACTCTCTTCCAAAGATCTGCATGCCGTTGATATTATATCTGCTATCAGCCCTGTAATCCTACTAACCAGAGAGAGGGAGGGGGAAGAAGACAGGAGGAAAAAGGGAGAGCAGAGAGGGGAGGAAAGAAGAAACTTATTGCCTGGTACAAACTGCTTACCAACTACTTCAACATCTCACATATTAACGCTAAGAAATTCTCAAGACTCTTGTGATGAGATTTCTTCATTTGAAGACTCACCCAAACCAGGATTCCAACTGTGCATTTTTAGTTTTCCAGCACCTTTCCCGGCCTCCAGGGTTCTTCAAAATTTATAGAAAGCAGTTCTGCCATTTTTTTTTCCAAGTCCTCTTAAAACTTGGGAGATGTCTTTCCTCCTAAATAACTGAAGACTCAAAATCTCAGCAGACTGGATGGTAAGATCACATACTTGGCAAGAAGTAGAGAGCATGCTGATGGAGGAAAGTTCCCTAGGGGGATTAAGCAAGCCAGCTACAGTGGTGAAGGAGTGTAGTCCTCTCAGAGGTGTTTCCAGAAAACTATCTCACCAGATATTCTGAATTAAGAATCCTTAGGAGCAAGTGCCTGTAGGAAATGCGAGGCTGTGATTAGCAAATACAGTTTAATGCGAGGCAAGACATCTGGGCCATATCTGAATTATGGTCACCTGTTTACAAGTGTCTTCCTGGCTTGTAAACCACTCTCAAAGTAATGCAATATTTCTACACTGGTACTTCCTTCAGTCCAGGTGACAAAGATATCAGGCTTCTTCCAAACACGTTCTCTTTGGCCTTTGCAACGTGTGAGGCTAATTGTTAGGGGAAAAGGTCTGAGCGCATCCAAAGACAGGGTTGAATGGATGCAGTGACTGGCAGGGAAGAACTAAGGTGGCTTTGCTTCTGGTACTGCGTGTGGGCGTACCCGAGCGACCGGCTGGAGGGCCCACTCCCTCTGTCTGGCTCATGGAAGGTGCAACCACCTGGGGAGTTGGGTCCTCTTGGCAAACTGCTGCCCAGTGGGCTGATGACCAAGGCTTATGTGAGGTGATAAAAGCCCTTGTATGCCCCTGACATGGGAGGGCACTCAGCAAACTGCTAACTTTGGTTTTGGTGTTTACCTACCTTTCAAACTCATGCCTCTATTCCCAAACCTCTGCATTTGACATCCTAGAACTGGAAACATTTTTTTTTTTGGGGGGGGGTGCCTTAGGAAGAGTCTCAAAAGCACAGAAAATACTTAGTATTATTAGCCCTGGACACAATAAAATGTCCAATGACTATTAAGTTGTCTGTTTTTTCACAGCACACCATGAGCTTTTTAATGCAGATTTATCTACAGCAACAGCCAAAGATGACGGACACACCCCAAAGAGAAGTGCACCGTATGACACAAGTGTGCTTCCTCAAGACTGAGTCTTGTCTCCTCCTGAGGAAAAGGCTGTGCAGCATTCACTGCTGCTGGTTTTTCTTTTGACTTTGAGCTCACTGGCCCTGGTTTTTCTTATGCTTATTATGGAGAGGAGTCTGTCAGACTACCAGGACAGCGTCACTGCAGCCTATAAAAACTGTGAGGATTGTACAAATTCTTATTAAGACGGAAGCATCAGACTTGTAAATACTGGAAATGCCAAGTGCTCAACAGAATTAGAAAAGAAATAAGTAGCAATATGACATAAGCCTACAGATTCTAGAATTGTATTACAGGGATTTAAAACCTAGTGCCATCCCTTTCTAGGTGTATGACCTGAGGCCAACTGTCTGAATCCTCATCAGTAAAACCAACACTATAGTACCTATGTCCTAGGCTTGTCATGAGGATTACGTGATAATGACATACAGTGTTAAACTGTTACAAATATAATTTCCCCCCTTTTCATGAAGTGGAGAAATAAATCATACCAATCACATAGTCAAAGGGGTTAAAATATTTGCTGCTTTCCAGAAAAAGCAACTGCTCTTTCCAGAATATACACTGAAATTCACTTCATGATTTTAATTACATTTCCTGGGTTGTATAGCCTAAAATACAATTTATCTCTGGGGCAAGATCATCACCTAGCCTTAGTGGCAAAGGGCTAACATGGAAAGATGCTTCAACTACATATGACAGTATTCACAACAACTTAGGTTAGGTACTGGCTAGTTACTGAACTACCTGTTCCTCTCCAAGCTCAGGTGAATCGTGAAATATTCCTGTGAGTGCATGAACGTATATAAGCTGGATGTGAATGTGAACAGCAGCTGGCCAATTATATCACATGCATGTAATTCGTGGGTCATCAAGATTCTGTTTGTTGAGAAGCTCACCAAACTCAGTCACCAGAATTTGACTGACTGCATCATTTTTGGATGGAGAAGCATATTTAGGAAGCTCTCTCCAGAAATCCTCCCACATGGCTCCTGCCACATTCAGTGCCAGGGCAGGGATGGAGCTGCAGGACCCAGGAAGAGCAAAGGGAATGCAACTGGAAGATTTGTGGTTCAAACTCTGATTTCTATTTGTTGAGTCCTTAGGCAAGTGGTTCTCTCTGCTCATTGTCAGGCAAGGAAACAGGCTTCATGATCTTCAGACTTAGAAGGTAATTAGGAGAGCCAAACAAGGTAACATATGCAAAGCACTCAGGTTGTGGCACAAGTGCTCAAAAATTCTTTTCTGTTCCTTTTTATCTACTTAGTCATAACAAAGACTGGTCTAAGAAATGTTTCCCAGCAAGCAAAAATTTAGAGCATTCTACCTCAAAGTGCCCAGCAGCATGTAGACAAGTAATACCTGATCAGAGGAAAAGAACCCAACCCCAACATTAGGCCTGTGAAGTGCTCACACTGTGCAGATAAAATGGCATTTAGAAAGAAACTGGTACCTCACTCAGCAAGAACCATTGCAAAGAATCAGAACTGAACTGAATTGGTAAATACTTCTAAGAAAAGAAAAACAGCTAAGTAAGATCTTTTCTGTCAAACTACTTTGCACTTCAAAACGACTGAACTGAAAATTGATGGCCCCTGAATGACAGAGAAATACTTCCAAACGTTGCAGACAAACACACCACCTATGGGATTCTAGATTTCCTTCTGAAACCAAACATTATCACTTGGGTCACAGAATGGGGCAAGAAGGCTGGACAAGAAAGCCCCTGTTCGGGTTCCTCTGTTTTCTAGGGGAAAAGTGCAAGAGTAGAAAGGACAATGAACTTGGAATTTCAAGAACAATGTTTAAAACCTAGGTTTTGGACTTAAGAGCTGTGCGATTCTGAATTTATTAACCTGCTCTGAGCTTGAGTTTTCTCACTTGTAAAGTGGGACTAATGATGCCCAATTTACATGCTGATATGAGGACGAGGTATATGCAGGCAGCAGGTACCCTTATGTTTGGCAAGCAGTATATGTTCCGTTAGAAACAAACCTATTTTTGCAAGTCTCCTTTGAATGTAGAAGAGGCTGGTAAACTCCTGAAAAGCAGAAACTCTTAACAAATCAGCCTGATGAGATAAAGGACTCACAGCAGGCTGTCCTCAGGGGGCTGGGGGGGGGCCAGGATCTTCTCCCCAGTCCCATCTAGGAAGGAGTTATTTGGGGACCCACTTGACACTGTAAAGCTCTTCAACTGAGACTATATCAGAAAGCAAAGTAAGTTATTACACAGATTTTCTTTTTAACAGTTTAAGAGAAGACCTTTTAAAAGAAAGAATATGACCAGTGATGGAGTTCTTAAAGTATAAAACTTACAGTTCTCTAGGTGGAAAAGAAAAATGTTAAGGGGAAATTATGCTTTTGTTAGCATTAAAAAAAAGCACAAGGTAAAAACAAAGTAGTATTACAAACAACAGTACAGAATTGTGTGTTACTGAACACACCTAGGAACTTCAGGTCTCTAAAGAGACAAAAATAAAGGACACATATTTTTGTATTCTCCCCCCTTCTTTTTGGCTTAAAGAAAACCCAAATTTGTAGATGAAATGGATTACAAGTTTAATAAAAAACACAAACACAGAAGAAATCTTACTACACCAGTGATTATTAACCTTGGCTGCATTAGGGTGACCAACTTGTCATAATATGCCCAGGATGTTAAACTTCTTTTTGAAGGAGGTCCCTGGGATGGTCACCCTACTGCACATCAGGATTACTTGGAGAGCTTTGAAAATGATGCCTGGGCCCCACTGTGTGTGCGGGGGTTTTAAAAGCTTTCCAGATAAATCTCATGTACAGCCAAGGTTCTTAACCCCCTAACAAAACAGGCGCAAAGGAGTGTGAGGGGGAAGGCAAGAATATTATGAACATCCTTGTGCAATCTTTTATATACCCATCCCAGCCAAGGGTGCTAGAGAGGGGGCAAGGCAGTGGCCTTGGATGGGGGTGGAGTGCTGGGCAAGCCAACTCTGGGTCCTGCTCCTGCTTAGCCATTTGACCTTGGAAATATCATCACTGATAACTCTCTGTAAGTGTGTAAGTAACCACTTTACAGATTCTTGGGAATGTAAATGTTCCTGGCAGGGCGCTAGTACAATGAGCACAAACCAGGACTGTTTATCCCCACACTTGCTATGGGCTGCTGTCTTTAAGGAGTGTAATGGGAGATGGAGAGCAGTCCTAAAAGGGTGGTTTCAGTGAGACGGCAAGTGCTGTACCGGTGATCTGATCAGGAAGCTCTCAGTGGCTGGCTGTGTTTGGCAATCTTGGAGCATCTTGACCCAAGTCAGGTGGAAGGGGTGCCAGGGGCCTGTAGAGGCACCTTCATACGTTACCTCAATACTCCTGAAAGTGTGTACCTTCAATTATCTGCTTCTTCTAAGATAACATATCTGGAGAGGCTATGTGTCGTTTTCCCAGGTCATGGAGTTGATCCGCTGGTGTCTAATCTAAATTCTTTGCTTTCTGCTACCGGACTGTGTGAAACTGTGAACTGAAGACACGGCATCTGCTGCCACTCAAGTACTGTTCTTACTTCCTGCCTGGTGCCGTAGAGCTGCAGATGAGTCAAAAGCGTGGCAAGTTCCAGGGCTCTTCCTTCTTTCAGGTCTTGTCTTCTCAAGCACCAAGCCCCATCTGGCCTCCTAACTGTAGGCCCTGGCGTGGGCTTCTACACCCAGCACCCTGTGAGGCTTCCACGCACTGCACAAAATGCCCTGCAGCAGAAGCCAGGCACTTGGATGTAAGGCCTGAGTCTGTGCAGTCTCGGTTGCACCAGGATTTTTCTTCTAGAAAATAAGAATGAGCCCCCAAGACGTTCTCTGAGCAGGGATGCGTTGCAAAGTAACACAGGAGCTTAAAATAAAAAAGAAGAAAAGGCTTCCTAGGGCTCAGGTGAACTAATAAATCAGATTGCCCTTTTCCTGAGATGGGCTGAGGCATGCAGTTTACAATCCTTCCCAGGGATTCTGCTGCCTCACCACCCCCACTCCATGATGAGAACATCTGGGTTACAGTCTCTGGACCCTTCACTCCAAGGATGGATTCTGGAAATTACAATTGGCGGGGGTGGCATATGTAAACAAAGAAAATGCAGTCTACCCCCGAGCAGCTTGAGAGCAATCAAGACTGGGAAGCCTCTCTGTGAGGACCTCATTTATCACGGTCAACAGCATGGGGCTTGGCACAGGAGGTACTCCATACACATTGGTTGAAGGAATGAATGAATGAGTGAGTGAGTGAGTGAGTGGAAGAAAGGTCAGCCTTTGTGTCAACAATCATCCAAATGTTCCTTCTTCCTCTTGCCTGAAAACTGCCCCAGATTCCCTTACTTAAAGGCAAAAACACCAATGGAGATCAAGACTTAAAAAAAAAAAATTGGGGCAGCCCTGGTGGCGTAGCGGTTTGGCGCCACCTGCGGCCCAGGGTGTGATCCTGGAGACCCTGGATCGAGTCCCATGTCAGGCTCTCTGTATGGAGCCTCCTTCTCCCTCTGCCTGTGTCTCTGCCTCTCATTCTCTCTCTGTGTTTCTATGAATAAATAAATAAAATCTTTACAAAAAAATTGATATTAATGAATCCTTAAAAATCTACATTAGTTTGACATATCAGGGAGGAGGCTCGATAAAACAATGCCCTCCTTTGTTTTCAAAAATGCATCTGTAATGAATGTTATCAGCAGAACAAAACCGGATACATACAGAAGGGTTACTTTTCATGGTTATATTACATCCAAGATAAGAAAAAAATAATTTTAAAAAGTGCATCCTAGGTGAGAGAACGTCGACCTTAGACAATTAACAGAGCCAAACATTCTACTTGCGTTCTGGTTTCTAAAGAGCTATTTGCTGGGCTTCCAGAACCCTTGGCCAGTATCTCCCGTTGTGTACACACATCACAGGCTGGGCTGAACTTTGCATCCGTGACTCAGAGAAAAGATAAAGACACATACATACATTCCTATCCTCTCTCCGCTCCTCTAGGAAAGCACTGCAAACTCCTGGAGACCACAGCTGTCTCACTCCTGGTGACTTCAATTCTAAACTCAGAGAGAGAGAGAGATGATCCTGAAAGGCCGTAACACATCACAGTGCAGCCGTGTAGACCTCCAAAAACAGGACGGCGTGCTATTTCGCTTTTTTCAACTTAGTGAATGCCAGTCAGGCTGATACACTTGTCCACTGCCCTGGTTCTTAAAGTCAGGGTGGTTGTAATGGGGGGGGGGTGTACACTTGCCTAGAAGGACTGTACTTGTTCGTTCTCTCTCTCCGTTGGTCTCCCTTTCCGGTGAAGAAATCTATTCTCTCTTCTGCACCCGGCCTGAAACTGCCCAACACAACCCATAGATCGCAAGATAAAAAAAAAAACGGGGGGGGGGGGCAGCTGAGATGGGGGCGGTCCGGCAAAGGCAGCCTGCAGAGCCTCGGAGCAAGTCTAGCCCTCGCCGTACCGGCCTCCCGCGGCCTCCCGCGGCCCCCGGCCCCCCCCCGGCCCCCGCCCCCGGCCCCGGCCCCCCTGCTCTCCGCAAGGGCTGCTGCGGAGGTGGTCCGTGGGCAAGCCCATGCCCGGGCGCACGCCGCCGAACTCCCAAGGAAAGACAATGCCAGTCGGGTTCTCAAGTTTATTGTTGGCGCGCCCAGGCCGGTGGGACGCGGGCTGCGGCGGGCGGGCGGGGGCCGGGGCCGGGCCGGGCCGGGTCGGGTCGGGCCGGGGCGCGGCCGCGGGGTCCCCGGTGACCGCGGGCGGCCGCACACGTCAACGCTTACCTCCGAGGCCCGCAGGAGGCTTTAAAAATGGCCTCCTGACGACACTTCCTGCTCGGAGCCGACCGGTAGAAACCCTCGCAGGAGATGCATCATTTAAAACGCTGGGGGCGGGCGGAGGATCCTGGCCGGCCGGGCGCCTCCACTCGGGCCGCCGCCGCCGCCGCCGCCGCCGCCGCCGCCGCCGCCGCCGCGGGAGACCGGCCTGCGGGTCGCGGCGGCACAAAGGGCCCGCACCCCGCACCCCGCCCGCCGCCCGGGCCCGGCCCCGGCCCCGGCCCCGGGGTCCGCGCAGCCCCCCGCCCGCCCCGGGGCGCCTCTGCGCCACGACGCCCGCCGGCCAAGCCGCACGCGGGGTCGCGGCCCGCACCCCCCAACCCCCACCCCCCCCACCCCCCGGGCCCGAGGCTGCCCGCCCCGTCCCGCCCCGGCGCGGCCTCGTCCGGCCCTCCCCCACCCCCGCTCCCGCCCCCGCCCCGCGCGAACCCCCCCCCCCCCCCCCCCCCCCCCCGGCTCAACCACTCACCCGGCCGGCGGGTCCCGGCTCCCAGGCTAGGGCGTCTACACCGCCGGCCGCAGCCGCCTCCGCCGCCGCCGCCGCGCCCGCTGTAGGTCCCTACTCGGGGGGGCGGAGTCGGGCCGGCGACGCGCGTGCGCAGTGCGGCGCACAGGCTCGGCTGCGGCGCGCCCGGCGCCCGGGATTCCCGAGGCTGCGCCCGGCCCCCGCGGGGTCTCCGCGCCGCGCGGGGAGCCGACCCGCCGCGGTCGGGGGTGCTGGGCCCCGCGCTCCGCGCTCCGCGCTCCGCGCAGCCGGTCCACAGCGTGCGCAGGCGGCGGCCGCAGGCTCGGAAGGAGAACGCAGCTCCTTCCGTTGTCGCCCGGGAGGAGGACCGCTCGGGAGCGCCCGCTGGGTGCAAGCCGAGGGCGCGGCGGCTCCCTGCCCTCGAGGAGCTTCCAGTCCAGCAGCGGCAGAGAGAGGGAGCTCGGCTCTCCAGCCTCCAGCTCTTCCTCTTTCGAAAGCGGCAGTGGATGACACGGCCTTGAGGCGCGTTCGAATCCCGACTCTTGCATCCTAACTTCGGGACCTTGGGCTAAGAAACCCCCTGACCCCCCTGACCTCTCCGAGGCTCAGAGTTGGCGCTGCTAAAGGCGGGGAAGGCCACACCAGAAGACAGAGCTTCATCTACCGCGTAGGTGGTTGGGACAGTCTGGAGATGGTGTGAGCTCATTTAATGCCAGTGTTTTTCTTTTCTCTCTTTTTTCTGCTCCTTGGACTCCCAATACCATTTTCTGGGAACCACGATCCACTCCCAACACAAGAGCACTTTTTTTTTTTTCTTTCACAAGAGCACTTTTGATCTTCTGGAAAGAAAGTGTGTCTAGAATAGACCCCCCTTTCTTAGAAAAGAAAGAGGCCCGGTCCCGATAATCAGTGACTCAGATGCTGCTCCCCACGAAATAAAAGTGCTCCCTAGGAACGCAGACGGTGTGGGCAGGGAGCAGCGACCGGGGGAAGCGCAGTTTCTCCAGGAATAACAGCCACGGTTGATTTCAAAGCTCCGGAAGGAGCGCGGCTGGTTTCCAACACCTTCCTGTTGTAGGCCAGAGGTCAGGGTGTGTGGACATTGGCCAGAAGCAGGAAGGAGCTACAGGGCTGGAGGCAGTTCTTCAACACGGGGAAGTGGGAGTTCAGGAAGACCCCGTCAGTCACCGGCAGCCCGCCACGGAAATAGCAAGAGCTGGGCGGAGAGAATGCCAACCCAGAGATGGATCACCACCAGCAAGTTCTTCCTCCTGCTCTTTGCTGCAAGGCCCGACTTTGATTCCTCATAAGGGAGCCTCCTGGTCCTCTATCTCCTGTGGCTCATTCAAGCTAGCAGACCTTTTCTCAGAAACAAACAAACAAACCCCATTTATGTAGAAAGAATTCTGTCCCCCTCAAGATCGGGGAGGGCTTGGGAAGAACACAGAGAATCCAAACTGGGCACTGCTTAGAGATCGCTAGTGGCAGAAGGAGCTAAATCAGGAAAAGCTGTTAATTGTAAGCATTGGAGAACCAGAAGTCTAAGCGTTAGAGAATTTTTCCTAAAATGTAGCCGAATTGTTGCTTCTGCTTGTAACATCGACTCAGGCATTGCAATTCTGCCCTCTTGGGTCACACAGAATTGTTGAAAGAGTACCTCTGGCTCTCCTGGCAATTTTTCTGGAATTAGATAGAGTTGGTTATAAATCCCAGCTGTGAGCCTGCTCCCTAGCTTGTCTGAACCTCAGCTTCTCATGTAAAATTCAGTGAACAATAGGACCTAGCTCACAGGCCAATTGTCAACATTAAAGGAGAGAAATCAGGTCAAGGCTTAGCACAGTCCCTGGCAGATTTACATGTTCTCAGAAGACCATATTAAGGCAGATAAAATGCTTTTTGGAGAGCCTGGAAGTGGGGTGTTTGCAGTTTGGAAGAGGGCCAAGAAGGAATAGAGACCACTTCCATGGAAACCCTTAAAATTGGCATATCGTCCCCTCTTGAATGCAGGCAGAGTTCACTTGGAAATGTTATCGCTGGACATTCAACAAGGGCACATGTCCTACATGTGCGGCTGGCTGCCCATGTGTCTCCTCCCCCATCCTGCTTAGTTTGCCTAAATTCTTTTTCAGTGTTCCAAAGATCACCTCTGTTATGAATGCAAATCCACCCCTGTGGATGTGACCTTATTTGGAAATAGGGTCTTTGCAGACATAGTTAAAATGAAGTCATGAGGTGGGTCCTAATACAGTATGATTAGTGTCCTTCAAAAAGAAGAAATTCAGAGAGGCGAATGCCACACGAAGACACAGAAATACAGGAAGAAAACGCCATGCGAAGACAAGGCCAACGTGGGGTTATGTTGCCACAAGCCAAGGGAACACCTGGTGCTGTCAGAAACTGGGAAAGGCAAGAAAGGATCTTCCCCTATAGCATTCCCAGGGAGCATGGCTCTGCTGACACCTTGATTTTACACTTCTAGCCTACAGAACTGTGAGAATAAATTTGTTACTGCAGCTCTAAGAAATGAAGACAAGCTCTCAGATATGATTGCCTACTGAATAGGAGAGAGGAGGGAAGGCATATGAACAAAATCAGTCACTGAGTATAAGGATTGGGAGATGTCGAGTCATTTACTTATTCAACAAACATTTACTGAGTACCTATTTAGTGCAGACATAAGCTAGGTGCTGAGGATAGAGTACTCAAGGAGCAAGACCAGGCTCCTTCAGGGAGCACTGGTGTTACTGGAGATGATGACTTCAGACAATGAATGGAATATGTAATTAGTATTAGGGAGCCCTAGAGGTCAGAGAGGAAAAACTGGGTGGTGGTGGAAGGGAGTGCAAAGCAAGGGAAAGGGTAATCTAAGAGGCTCAGTGAAGGGAACTTTGAAGATGAGCTCTAAGCCACGAGTAGAAACCAGCATGGGAAGATGGAAGGAGCTTCACACGAAGGGTAAGAGCAGGTGCAAAGATCCTGGGGTGGGCAGAGTTGTCTATGTTTGAAGGAGAGAAGGAAGTACAGTGCGGCCCTAGATCATCCCGGGCACTTAGAAATTGTGATCTTAAGGAGGCATTCACCGGAATTCTGTCAGCGAGGACCCGTGGCTTGGAGGAAGGTACTTAGTCTTAATGGGCCTGAAGCAAAAGGCCAGGTCTCTAACAACCAGGTTTGGAACTTCGGGCTAGTTGCGGGGAGCGAGGGGGCGGGGCGGACAAAGACTATGTAAACTCAGGCATTTCAAGACGGCATCAACAGGAAACCCTAGAAGTGGCTTTTGTTTGTTTAAAATATTTCAGGCGTATCCAGTAACTTCTTTGAGCCTTTGTTGGCTCACCTGTGAAGGAGGGAGAAAGGCCTCTCTGCTCAGGGTCCCCACGGTCCTATAGGACTACCAGGATACTCAAGCTCCCTGCTCCTCCCATTCCTGGGGCGCAGAGGGGGGAGGCTGCAGAGTCCGAATCCCAATCCCATTATTCTTCTGCACGGGCTGTGTGACCTTGGGCAAGTTACTGCCCGTCTCTGAGACGCTTTTATCAACTCCAGAGTCGTGCCACCGGGCGGCGCTGCGGGCGGCACTCGCCGGCTCAGCCGCCTCTGGAGCCCCGCGGAACCGCGCGCTGGGGCGGCCGCAGCCGCGAGCCGCGCACCAGGCATGCGCGGCCGGTGGAGCCACTCGAGGCAGCCTGGACGCCTCCCCTCCCCCCGTCCCCCGCCCCCCGCCGCCCGCCGCCCGCCCCGCGGCCGCGACCGGGAGCGCTGCAGTACCGCCGGCGGCCGGTGGCGTCGCTGCGCGGCCGGCCCTGCGGTCCGCGCCTGTAGAGCTCTACCCGCGCCGGCAGCTCCGCGCTCACCTGGCGGCTGGCGCTGCCCTTCCCGCGCCCTCAGCCCGCCGCGCGCCCTCCTCCCGCCCGACTTCTTCCAGGTGTGCTGCTTTGCTCCGGTTTCTGCGAGGCCGCGGGAGCGGCGGGGGTGGAGACGGCGCGCAGGCGAGATAACGGGGGGCTCCCTGCCCGGCCGCGTGCGCTCTCGC